GAGTGGATCACGTGACGTCACCCGGCGGCTCAGAGACGGTGACCAAAGAACGTCGTGCTCTACTTTTGTCAACCAAAGCTGTGACGTAGAGGCGGGTCGTGAGACAAGACAAGACAGCGGCGGCTTTTGGAGACGGGCATGTCGCTCTCACAACACTGTAGACAGCTTCAGGACTTCGGGGAATCATCGGTGTAACATCTCTCAGTCGGAAAGTAAGAACTCTTACACTGAGTCTTCTGCCGAATACGACTTTTTAGACGCCCGTTTAGAGGCTCACAATACCAACGCTCAGTCTGAAAGTAAGAACTCTTACTGTGAGTCTTCTTCCAAATACTTTTTAGACGCCAGCATAGATGCAGGTGCTCAGAATACCAGAGATTCAACGTCTGGTATCTCTGACGTTTCCCGGTCTACATTTTGGCAGACCAGTTCAAAACGAGGTTCTGACGTGAGCCGAACGTTACAGAACAGACCAGGTGTCTACGTTCATTCTGGCTTTCGGACGGTCAAGCTCAACAAGAACACCTGTGGGGAAGCAGCAAGAGGCACGACGTCCACAGACGTCTGCAATAAATCGTCCCCGATACCCCAGACAAGACGTTCTGAGGGAGATGAAAGAACTTGGTCTTTGACAACAACAGCTGAGATGACTACGCATGACGGCAGACCTACCTTATCTGCTTTCCTAACTTTGAAGCAGAGAAACGGATGTCTCCCTAAAACGACAGAGAGAGGCGGAAACTACAACGATGTGTCGCAGAAATCGGTCACACGCCCCGAGACTGTTCAGGTTTGTGACAGTTCTGGCACACTGCCAAACCCAAAGACCCGTGACGCTGTGATGTCATCATCACATCACGTGACCCAGGAGGTTGTTGTCGGAACAGCTGTCATGCTGCACAGGCACCAGAGACATAGAAACAACAACGCTGCCTCTAGGGGGCGCACCGCGCTGGAGAAACAGCGGGAGAAACAGGATAGAAAAAAGGGGAAGAAACAGGGGGAGAAAGAGGATAGAAAACAGGGAGAGAAACGGGGGGAGAAAAAGGATAGAAAACAGGGGGAGAAACAGGCAAGGAAACAGGGGGAGAAAGAGGGGGAAAAACAGGGGAGGAAAGAAGTGGAGACACAAGGGAGGAATCAGGGGGAGAAACAGGGGAGGAAACAGAAGAAGACCAAGAAAAGGAAAGAACAGAAGGGCGGGAAACTGTCACTGCCAGGGACACCGGAGCCCACCTTGCCTTGTCCCCTGCCGAGCACAGAAGCAGGCCTCTGTCTGCACAAAGGTAACTATCGCCGAAATAGACGTGTGAGTGTTGTTTGCTGTAGTGGGTGGTTGGCGGGTGCTCTGGTGCGGTTTGCTCCTTCTTTCCTACCAAACGTCTATCGTCCTGATCTCTCCTCCTTTTTGTGTGTGTTTGTTACTCTCTTGTAACACCTCTAATCTTCGGCACTTATGTGACTTTATTGTATTGCAAGTGCCGCACAACTCTTATTACTAAAACATAAACAGACATTTAGAGCATAAAAGAGTGAAAACATTAATTGTATACATCTCTGCTTACCTAAAACAACTCAGACGTCTGTGGTGCCATGCATGATTCATCAGACGGGGCGTCGGTATAGCTTGTTCACTTTCGTCTGACCGCGTCAAAAAAAAAAATTCTAGCTCATTGAGGAATTTACCTATGCCCACGAAACTTTGCATGGCCCTTCTGCAGGCCAGCGACCAAACATAAATATTTTTTTTTAAATCTTCACTCAGTAATGAAAAAGGTTTTCTCTTTGGGCCCTGTGTTAAAAACCGCTCTTTGGATACGTACACAGGATCACTAATATAAATGACTTACAGTAACCTTGCCTACAAATTGCTCATTTTGAGACAGCGACACCACCCTACCCCCACATTTCAGTGAAAGTTTTCTGCTGGGACATTTCAGTAAACCACTTTCAGCACTTTTTAAGGACCCCCGGGCGAGTGTTGAGTTCCTGCGTGCTGTCGGCATCGCTGACCGTTTATGAAGCCACAGCGCAAGAAGAGAGAGAGAGAGAGAGAGAGAGAGAGAGAGAGAGAGAGAGAGAGAGAGAGTGTGTGTGTGTGTGTGTGTGTGTGTGTGTGTGTGTGTGTGTGTGTGTGTAAGTTTGTACATTTCATCTCCCAGCTGTCTAGACGTCTCCACGTGCTCCACGTGAGTCTAGAAAATAACTCACCCCGTCTCTTGAATCGTGTTTCTTAGGCGAACGTTATAGAGTGGTGTTGAGGACAGTAGGCTTATGTCAACTTTTCAATGTTTTAGGTGTATGCAGGAAGTCTACTATTATTTTTTTAACCCACTTTAGGCTTACACCAAAGAAAACGTGCCGGAACCTTAGTTTGCAGTGACTTTTATTAATTGGCTTTTAGATTCTGATGTTCGCTTAACTTTTAGACCCGCATGCAAAGACCCAGAAAGATTAAACAGAGCGATGTGTTTTTATCCCGTTTTAACCGCGGTCAGACGAAGGTGGACGAGCTATAGCCTGGCAGGTAGTTGGGCTATTGGGTTCATAACTGAAGGGTAATTGGTTCAAACCCTGCCAGGGCCGCTGTAGCTGTGTCCTTGAGAACGGCCCTTTGCACGGAGTTTCCTCACTTCACTCAGGTGGAATAGTTATCAAATTGTTATCCGGCTATAATGTCAAATGCTCGTGTCAGTTTGTCAAAATTTTTCGTGGGTGGTTGGTGGGTGCTCTGGTGTGGTTTGCTCCTTTTTGCTATCAAACACCTATCGCCCTGATCTCTCCACCTTTAAAAAATATTTATTACTCTCTTGTAACACATGTAATCGTCGGCACTTTTGTGACCTTATTGTGTCACAAGTGCGGTTAAAACTCTCACTAAAACTAAAGGGGGTTTCGTGCTTAATCGGCTGCTTGCATTTTATACTTCACGGGAAGCCAAGAACGTTTCTGAACATTCTTTGGTCTGCTCGGATAATAACACATTGCAAAGCTCAAGGAGTATGCTGCAGAGCGTTGATATAAATACAGTTGTTACTATTATTTTTCAAACCAGTGAATCCCCCCACAGGGGCAATGCTACTGACTGAAGTTGTCTTTAGGCCATTCCCAAAAAGAGGACATTATCATGTTCTTATGCACAGTAGAATTGTAAACGGGCTGATTTATCAATGTCATGCTCATACTGTGCCGGAACAACATAGGGGGAACTGCTGCTTTTTCTTTCCTCATCCTTACTATTGTCATTTTCCCTCTACTTCTTTTGCATGTTTGTCACTCTCTGTCACTCTCTTGTGACCCGCTATTCCCGGGGTGCCTTGATAATCGAAGCGGACTTTGTGCTGTGGAGGCTAGAGAGGTGAGCAGAGTAAGCTTGGTTCCCCATTTGGACTTCTCTGTTGACATCCATCTCTCTGGCGCTCATATGACCTTATGCAGTTGCGAGCGCCGTAAAACCACTAAAACTAACAACCCGGTGAATACACAAATAGTAAGATCACGCAGCGCCAATTATGTACATCCAAAAACAAAGAAAGAAAGATATAAAAAGTTTTTTACCATCTGGCATAATGCTTTTGTCAGAATGAGCATAGATGTGTGTTGCTCTTAGAGTATGTATCTGTATACAACTTATAACTCGAAAGGTCTTGTATTTAAACTCCTGCATGTGGTTGAATGATGCGTTTGATATTTGATGTGAATGTACATTTTGTCAGCTTTACTTCTGTTTTCCTATTAACTTTTAATGAGAGTAATATATAATTTAATTATTTTATGTATACCACCTGCATGTGTTTATACGATCCTGTACAACCAAGAAAATCTTCCCTTTGGGATTATAAAGCATTATCTTATCTTATCTTAACCTAAATATTTCTCATCGAGCATCTCCGCCTGTCTCAGGGTAGGCCATGGCAGATAGGGTCAAAGCAGCCAGCCTCCAAAATAGTGGGTCGTGTCTGTGAGGGCAATGACATTCACAATCAACCTCTTGCAATCTCGTTCTCCTTGCAGACGGCCATTTCCGATTCGAGAACGGCTGGCCAATGGCGGACGCTTACTCCAACCCTCTAGCGGACGGAGCATTTAACAGAGTGACCATCCCTGGCCTTGATGTACAGAACACGAACCCGGACGCTCGGACGTTTAGCCGGGTGGGAGATCTCGAGGAGGTGCTACCCCTGAACCACCCTCTGGACTGGCGGGCTGTACCACGTGACGACGTACTGACGTCATCTACAGGACAGGGGGGCGGGGTGGTTGACGGGTGTCTCTTCTCTTCTGTGCCGGACTGCGGTGTGGGGAGGAGAGGTAGTGCAGAGACGTGTGGGAAGGTGGGGGTGGATGAGGAGGGGAAGATTCTGTCAGGCACTGGAGGAGGGGGTAGGGTGAGAGACCGGGGGTCTGGCGGGAGAGATGGAAGAAAGGAAGAGAAGAAGAAGAAGAGGAAGAATAAGAAAAAAGGAGGGAAAGCCAAGTCTTTTCGAGAGGATGTTCTGATTTTTAGCGAGACCAGACTGGCTTGTGATCACGTGACCGTTCCTTGTGAGACGTCCCAGGCCTTTTACGCCGCGACGAGGACAGACAAGAGGAGAGGGGGGAAAGAGGAAAAAGAAAGAGGTGAGAGAGAAAGGAAAGAGGAAAAAGAGAGAGGTGAGAGAGAAAGGGAAGAGGGAAAAGAGAGAGATGAGAGAGAAAGGAAAGAGGAAAAAGAGAGAGGTGAGAGAGAAAGGGAAGAGGGAAAAGAGAGAGGTGAGAGAGAAAGGGAAGAGGGAAAAGAGAGAGGTGAGAGAGAAAGGAAAGAGGAAAAAGAGAGAGGTGAGAGAGAAAGGGGAGAGGGAAAAGATGGGAGAGGGAGGGATGACGAGGGGGATAAAAAGAAAAGAGGTGAGAGAGAAGTGGCGGAGGGGAAACAGAAGAAAATGAGAAAGGAGGGGGAGGAAGGAAGAGAGAGGAGAGGAAGGAAGGAAGAGAAGGAGAGAGGAAAAAGAAGGGGACGAAATGTGGAGGAGGAGGGGGAGGGGAGAGAAAGGCCAGGGAGAGAGGGAGAGGAGGAGAGTAATAAACATCATCACGACAACGATGGTAGGCGCGTGCACAAATGTAGCAAAAGACGTTCTGAGAAACCGGTCAAGGAGACATCAGTCGCGACACAAAGGAAAGACGGAACTGTCGATGAACTAGAACAAGAACCTCAACTTACCACGAGTGGACAAGGAAGTAAGACGTTTGGGGTTTGTGACAATGGAAGTCCCAGATCAAGGCGCGATAGCCTGCAGAATGTTTCGAGCGATTCAGGGATGAAGGATCGCCTCTCTCCGGTTCAAACAGAAACATTAACAGTAAGAGTTAATGTTCTCGATGATTTAGAGCCAACTGTTATCGCGGAAAATGATTGTCTCGAAAATGACGCGTCGGATGTAGAAAGTCGGTCACATGAGCTGACGACAAGCAAAACCGCTAGATCTAGTGTGTCTACGAACGGTTCTTTTTCTCAACATTTGGCTGCTGATGACGAAACAGAAAGAAGTCATTCCTTCCTCGAGAGTCCTGAAATAGTGGTCAACACAGATGCTGAACCAGGACCCCGAGGCTCAGGAGAGGTGACGTCATCGCTCACTTCTGCAGCAGACGACGGCAGTTCCAGATGGTCGTCGTCGCTGTCTCAGCAGGAGTCGAACCCCGGCGGCCCGAGGAGGAGTGAACAACACTCTCTTGTGACGTCGTGTTCTGGGGAGACAGGTACGTATGGCTGGTAAGACTGACTGGTGCTGGGATACGGGGTGAATTTTTTCGTTATGACTGGGGTTTTTAACAACGACAAACCATCTAGCATAAGGCTATTGTCAGTTATATAAGCTTCAAAGTGTATTGCTCCTTCGAGAATGTATCTGATATAACTCTAAAGATCTTGTAATTAAATTCCGGCATGTGGTTGATTGAATGATGCATCTGGTGTGATATGTACATTTTGTCGGCTTCAATTTTCTTTCCATACTGAATTTTATTAAGAGAGTAATATATAAATTTAAATCTGTATGTTTACCTGCATGTGTTTTTACTGTCCTGTACAGCAAAGTGTATAATCGGCAGATAAAAGGGTACAGCCAAGAAAAATTTCCCTCTGGAATAATAAAGTATTATCTTATCTTATCTTATCTTATCTTATCTTGTACCCAAAAGCCTCGCCAGTTGAACCGCCCGCTCCCAGTGACACCCAGGACGCCCCGCCCAACACCCCCGTGGAGTTGTACTTCAGTCAGCCACGCCCACCTTGCCACGACTTCCTCACATCCGGGCTCGACGGGGACAGGAAGTGCCCACAGACTGATGACGTCACCGGCCGCCATCACCACGTAGACAAGTCGGTTCGAGAGTTTGAGGAGACAGACGTGAAGGCGTTGTGGAAGGTTCTCCGCGGAGAGAAAGGGGCGTCACTCGTGGTCAGGGGAGGAAAGTCGAAGGAAGGAAAGAAGGAGAAAGGTGGCAAAAGAGGAGGCAATAAAGATCTGGAACAAATCAACGGGATGGAAAGAATGCTGTCCTGTATTAAGTACGTATCTTCGGTTTCTGTAGACAGAACGGACCCCATTTACCGGCATTTAGATGCTTCAGCTACTCATCATCATTATTGCTTTACGTTTTTGTTATCCAAAGAAAAATTCCAGGCCTGACGTTTTTCTTATCCGTAGAAGAACTTCATTTTCAAACACTCAAAAAAAAAGTCCCAAATCATTCTTCTTCTTCTTCTTTTCGTTTTAATTACTATTATCAAAATATCTGACCACTTTAGCGCTAAGAATTATTTGGTCGGTTTTTACCTACATTAAAATTGTACAAAATGTTTTCAATACCCAATGTTGTATACTTTTGCTTCCGTACCAAGATAAATGTCCATGGCATGGATGATGATGGTTACGATGTCGACTTCCCTAAACATTTTTGACGACCCCCCCAAAAAAAAAAACACAAAAAAACACACACACACAGAGCTAGATCATTCATTCTACATGAAAAGTAAACAAGTGAACATAAGTAGATTTTTCTTATTTTAATCATATATAATATGTGTTTATACAACGAATCACGGCTCGCACACAACAAGATAGTACAGTCCTCTCTTTGAACCAATTAAAAACGTGTCCTCAAAACCTAATGGCACCCTTTTCGAAAAAGTGCCGAGTTTGCGAACAGAGTTACCCTACTTGTGTGAAATACAATAAATGTGAATCTAACACACTGTGCTATTCTTATTCTTCTTTAGGAGAAACGAAAGAGAGCTTCAAAACCAAGACTGTAACGCCATCTGAAACAATGCGCGGACTTCCGCGGACAATTTTTGGGTTGACTGAACTATCTTGTTAGGCCTATGAACGATATTAGATCCCGTATCATCATCATCATCATCATCATCCAGTGCCAGATCTGCGACAGACATCGGCGATCATGGTTTTCCATTCATTCTTTTGCTCGGATGCTGCTAAAAAAGCCACGTTTCTCTGATCTTTCCCCGTTACCAATTTTTTTAGGATCTCTAAGTAGGTTGCTCTGTGCATATGCCTTCCTCGTTTGCCTTCATTTTTGCCAGAGAGAGCTAGATGTTCAAGACGTTTATGTCGATTCAGGTGTCCCAAAAACTGCATTTGTAGTTTCATGATTGTTTTTAACAGTGAGCCTCCCACGATATATATATATATATATATAATTATATATATATAATTATATAACCCGCCAGGTGGGCGGCCCAGGAACAAGACCAGGTTCTCGGACATGTCTCTGCCGCTATCGAGCTGCTGGACCAGGAGATAGACCAGGAGCCTGAACTGACTTGGCCGAGGGCGTTGTGTCACGTGCAGCTGAGTCCTCCGTGGTGGGGGGGACGGGGGGAGGAGGAGGGGGACACACAGACAGAGTCAGACGTGCGTGTGGACTGGCCTTTTCCCGCCAGGGGCTTCGTCTTCATGGGCGACAGGGCCGACAACTGTAACCTCAACTGGCCTCTCCCGATACGGAGAAAATCGTCGGTGGCGAAAAAACGGCGGACGAAAAAGACCGATCAGACTTCGGTTACTGGTAAAACTTCTTCGAAGACTTCCGAGGTAAAGATTGACGGAAGATCGAGTGAAGATTTGGTTGCTAAGAAAACAGTTTCGCATGACTCAGGTGTGAAAATTAAAGCAAACTCTACGAAGGGTTTAAGAGCGAAGAGCCAGAATCTGAAGTCTTCAGACGTCAAATCTACGGGAGAAACAAAACCAAACAAGGAAGGTCAACGTTCCACCCCACCAGAGGAACCAGGGGATAAAATCCCCCTGTCCAAAGCCCACGAAGACTCCTCCGGGAAAAAAGGGACTAACAACAATAAACGTCCCTCGACCGAATGTTCCAGAAGGTCTATGTCCAGTTTGCCAAAGGGTACATCACCCTCTGAGTGCAGACGGGCTCCGGTGAGGCGAGAGGGGAAATCCCCAACACGACAGAGGAAGCAGGAAGTGGAGAGTAGGCCGAGGGGGACATACTTCCGAGTCTGTGCCAGTGGTGAGGGCAAGAAATCGCGGGGCTGTGGAGCGACTTTCCCTCACGAGAGCACAAATAAATCATCGTCACGAGGAGAAAGATTTCCTCGCGAGTCAGAAGTCACGACATCGGTGCAGTCAGACTTGAGACAGAGCTGCTGCACAGCAGGAAAGAAATACCACTCGAAATGTCACCATCCATCTTCAAACGGCACATCGAGAAACCTGTTTAAAGCACGACTTTCTGGCCTGAATTCAAAGAGAAGTATTTGTACAGTTTCAGCTGCTAGAGCTACTTGTAGTTCCGTAAAATTCGACATATCTACGAGATTTAGCGAGCCCGATTATTTGAGAATGCCAGGATCGAAAGAACAAAAACTCAATGCACACCGTAAGGAAGTTGTGGGAATTTCCGATGTTGTGTGTGCGTCACTGCCGCCAATCGTGTGGTCGCAGGAACAGGAAGTGCAGCTGAAACAACAAACTTCTGACGTCTGGGCAGACTGTATTGTGGGGGCTGGGGACGGGGACACTTGGGGAAACTCTGGGACTCGGCTGGGGCCGCGGGAGAGATTGGCAAAGGGGAAGAAAATTAAAGCCAAGAGTTGCAGGAAACATGGGCCGGGACGGAAGGTTAGATCTAGAACTCCGTCTGTGACGAGAAGTACTAGACCTAGATCTGATGGTGGTCTGTATTCTCTTGATTCAACAAGAAGACAGGTAACACCTGGAAAAAGCTGCAGTTTGCAAGAAACTGTTCCACGTATCCCGTCTTGGAACGATCCTAAACTTGCGGATGACTCTGTTCCACCACATTGTAGATCTACGCTCTCCCTAAACCACTGCAAGCGGCTGTTGGGTCTGACAAATCACGCACTTAATTGTGCAAGTAAAAAAACACATGACCAGTCTCAGCCACGATATTCTGACTCATGTGATGACAATATCGGGAAAAGAGATGAGTGTGAGACATTAATTGGTAAGCTCTCGTCGGAAAGATCGTCAGAATTGACTCACAATCGCTGGGCACACTCTCGCGCGAGAGTTCGAGATCGTGCTCAGTCCCCACAGCATACACTTGAACACAGCTCGGCACACGAACTGATCGGGGAGGAAGGAGAAAGTCACTGCCATCGACTTGGTCTGGGGGCTGTGTCAGGTCTGGGGGCTGTGTCAGGTCTGGGGGATGTGTCAGGTCTGGGGGCTGTGTCAGGTCTAGGGGCTGTGTCAGGTCTGGGGACTGTGTCAGGTCTGGGGGCTGTGTCAGGTCTGGGGGCTGTGTCAGGTCTGGGGGCTGTGTCAGGTCTGGGGGCTGTGTCAGGTCAGGGGGCTGTGTCAGGTCAGGGGGCTGTGACAGGGCCACATATTCCCCCACCACACCACGTCGGGGACGGAGACAGGGCGGAGAACGGTAGCTCCAGGAAAAGTGTCGAGGCTGTAGTCGATTCAGAGATACACGGAGTATATTGTTCTTTTACGAGTGAGCGTCTGTCAACCCCGTACGCTGATATTGAAGGTGACATTTTCTCGGCATCTCCAAAAATAAACCATCTCTACCAACAAAGGCGAGGAAAAAAGTCGTCAGGTGGAGTTTCTCGGAGCATACTTCTGTCGCCAAAGCAGCGGAAAAATTTCTTTGAATTACCCGGGTCATTATCGTCCCAGGGGGATTCTACTCTTCACACCGTTGATCATCGCCTGGCTGTTCCATCCGGACTCAAAATGTCTGACGTCATACGTGTGACGATAAACGTCACGGACACTTGTGGACCGCAGTCTCCCGCCAGGTCTCCCGTCCGTGAGGGGGGAGAAATTTCCAGAGCGGAGTCACAGTTGGGAAGTGACTCGAAGCCACGGGAGAAAAAGTCGTCACGACCTCAAGTGGGCGAGGGACAAGACGAAGAGGAAGACCCGACCATCACCACCGGGGAGATGTTCACGGCCGAGGAGGGATTCGTCTCGGCCACAGCTGACCTAAACAAGGGTCCATCCGGAAACGAAACAACAGTAACAGCCAGAATCCAACCCGTCACTTCTGAGATGCTCTCCGACTTGGACGCCAAGGACGACAGCGTGCTGACGATGTCCTGCTCGCAGTTCCACACGGCCATGGATCACACGCCTGGTGCTCCGGACATGGATGACCAGCGGACGGATGGCCTCGATTACGTCACTGCCGAGGGGGGTGGCTACTCTCCTCAGAAGCCAGATTGTTCGCCACAACAAACCAACGAGTGGTCGGGGCCTCAGAGCTACAAGACTTCCACAGAGTGCCGGGACAAGTATAGACCTATCTCCGACTCTGAGCCATGCAAGAGCTGTACAGGTTCTGAGACAGAATCACCACGACAACTACAACCAACAGCAGAACAGACTACGGACACAAGAGGGTGCGCTGACGCCATCACCACCACCACCACCACTACCACCGCCGTCACCGTCCCCGCAATCGTCACCGACACCGACACCAACACCGTCACCGACACCGACACCGCTACCGCCAAGAGCCAGGCCTACAGCTGTCAATATTTCCCTCCACGCGTCTCTCCCGTCAGTGCCACCTACACAACGCCCTCCTTTTCACACAGTCGTGCATGTCGCTCCTCCTTCTATCCCAGACCCCGCCACTCCTGCTGCCTCTACTCCTACCCGCCCCCTCCCTCCCCCTGCCCCGTCTCTTCTACCTACTCATTCTCCTCCTCCTCCCCCTGTCCTGTCTCTTCTACCTACTCCTCTTCCTTCCCCTGCCCTGTCTCCACCTACTCTTCCTCCTCTTCCTCCCCCTGTCCTGTCTCCTCCCTCTCCTCCTGTCCAGCTACGGACATCTGCCAGTCCCTCCTCTCCTCTTCCTCCCGCGGGGGCGGCCCATGTTCCAGGAGGGCGAGACCGTCTTCCTACGCGCCGTCACTCACCAGTAACTACCTGTCACATCACTGCACGGCCCCGCCCCTCACATATTATAGCTCCTCCCTCAGCACCGGCTGCTACTCGCACGCCCAAACCTGTCTCTCGAGTGTGACAACAACAACCTCAACAGCATTCGACACGAGATACAAATACCCCGGTCAGACACCTCCGTTGTCGTCATCCCAGCAGCAGCAGAGGCCAAACCTCACCGCCGGAAACACGCAGCAAAAGAGCAAAGATGACGTCAAAGCTTTGAGCGAGGAGGAAAGGCGAGCGGACGGAAAGAGCCCCGGCTGCCAGAGAAAGTCTCCCTACCAGCAGTTCTCTCACCTCGCCGCCGTTGACTTTTCAACTCCAGACACAAGAAGCACCCAGGTGGCATCGCGTTGTTTTAGACCTCCGAAACTGTGTGGACCGGGAACCACAAACCTCCCCACCACCACCACCGCCCCTCCTCCTCTCAATGTTGAGACTCCACCAACGACAGCCCAGAACGTAGATGGCGCTGCGGTCGTGGCTGTAATTCGAAAGGTCGCGGATCCGACCCCTGGCGATCGACAGGATGGGGGTGGCGGGGTTGCTTCTTCACCTGAACACCCCGTGCCTGCGTGTAAGAAATCCACGGCACAAAACGAGCAGCCCGGAAGTTTGCCTGCGGTCAGTAAGGGAGACACGAACTACTCCTGCTCCTCGGGTCACCCGTCGTCGTCCTTCCCGTGTTGTCGTTGTTCTCACTGCTGCTGTCAGGTCAGCCGGTCGATGCGTGGCGCATGCGGTGCAAGTCGAAGCTCCGCCTGTAATCACGTGAGCCGGATCAGCTGTGCGGACACATCTAGGTACCAGACCACTCCCTTTACCTCCTTCTCCTTCTCCCCCTCCTCCTCCTGCTCCTCCCCCGGCTCCTCCTCGCGACAACCGCCACCACCGACCTACCACTCCCCGGAGATGTGTTGCGACGAGGACGTCAAAATTCGCCGTCTGTGCGCTAAATACGTCAGAGATCCAGGTTCCTCCGAGTTTGTTCCCAAGTCAGATTTCTGCCGGATGCTGGGCCCGCAAGTGGTCAGACCGTTCATCAGGAGGTCGTACACGACAGTTACGTCAGACGTGGTCACGTCATCGTGCTATGACGTAACAGGTCCCCCTGGTCGAATTGACTCGGAGGCTGGTTATACTGGAGCTCAAACCGGCAGTGAGAAGGGGAGAAGCCCATACCCTGACCGAGCCACACCGCAAACGAAGGATGGGATCGAGCAATCGAGGCCACAAACGAAATGTGCGATTGAACAATCGAGGCCACAAATGAAATGTGTAATCGAACAATCAAAGAAACAAACCAAAGATGTGATCGTACAATCAAATAAAAAAACTAAACATATCGAAAAGTCGAAGAAACAAAATAAACATATCGAAAAGTCGAAGAAACAAACCAAAGCTGTGACCAAACAATCGAAACCTCGAACAAAAGGTCAGGCGGCCACTAACCCTCCTTCCTCGCAGACTTCCTCCTCCTCCTCCTCCTCCTCCTCCTCCTCCTCCTCCTCTTCCTCCTCCGCCCCGCCCCCTGCACACCCTCCCAACATGTCGGCCAAGTCTGCTGACGACCATCGAGAGGAGCGGGCTCAGGAAGACACACCGGAGGTGGAGGTGGAGGTGGCGGAGGAAGAAACAGTATACTCTCTCACTCCTCAAGAAGCACCTGTCGGAATGCTGCTGACCAGACCCCTGCCGGCCAAACGGGTGATGACCAGCACGAATGCTTTCCACATACAGATGGACACGGTGGCCACGTACGTGCGAGGTATAATAGAGAAGGCTGCGGCAATTGTGCTCTACTACGGTTAAAGGCGAAACGGTTAATCAGATAGCGAACTACTACTACTGTGGCTTTTGGCGAAACGGTTAATCAGATAGCGAACTACTACTACTGTGGCTTTTGGCGAAACGGTTAATCAGATAGCGAACTACTACTACTGTGGCTTTTGGCGAAACGGTTAATCAGATAGCGCACTACTACTACTATGGCTTTTGGCGAAACGGTTAATCAGATAGCGCACTACTACTACTATGGCTTTTGGCGAAACGGTTAATCAGATAGCGCACTACTACAGGTATAGTATAGATTGTGAAGCGCAAAGATCTTGTTGCTGAGTGGGGATTTGCGTTATGCAAATGCTATCTATCTATCTGTCTATCTACGGGTAATGGCAAAACGGTTTATCAGATAGTACTCTGCTACGGCTGATGGCGAAACGGTTATTGAGATGGTGTACTCCTACTACTACGGCTTTTGGCAAAACGGTTAATCGGATGGTGCACTCCTACTACTATGGCTTTTGGCAGAACGGTTAATCAGATGGCGCACCACTACTACCACGGCTAACGGCCAAACTGTTTATCAGACAGTGCACAACTCTGCGGTATAGTACAGATTGTGAATCGAAAAGATCTTGCTGTTGAGCGGGGATTTGCGCTATACAAAAGCTATCTATCTACCTACGGCTAATGGCCAAACGGTTCATCAGACGCAAACCGTCGGCTCTGTCGACACTCAGATTTCAGATTTTGCTTTTTTAAATAAAATTTCTGTTTTGCTTTTTTTTCAGACTTCATTTGATCATTTAGTTGTATACAATTCTTTGGTTTTATAAATTTGCACCATTGAAAAAAAAGATTGTTTCGGTTTCGTTTCTTGTTGTTGTTTTGGGGACCGACATCACTGCACAAGGGACATCCCCATAAGCGCTCCGTCCCCTGAAGAAGCACATCTCGAAGTGTGTAGATGCTGACGGTTCCAAGCAATGGTTGATTCCATAGCCTTCTGCACCTCCCACTCAGTCTTGAACTTCTGCAGGCGCCCCATCCAATTTCAAGTTCAATTTGGAGTTATTTGTATCATCTTAAAAAGGTTGGTTATTTCTGTTGCTTTCGACCAAAAAAAAATGTTTATCTATTTTGAATAGAAGTCAAGATATTTGCGATTGAAGAAGGAGGGGTCGCCCGGTTTCAGTTATAAAATTAGCGTAAAACCTTACTAAAACAAAACAAGATAGCAGAATGAACGATAACCAGAACTAGAACCATACTCAAGAAGGTAGAATGAACACGACAACTTACTTTGCGTCAATCTCGCCAGGTCGACAGGGAATTCCCCATTGCCTTGTGCACACTATGTAGCCTATATAGAGTTACCCCCTTTTAAACATAGTGTACATCTATGGGCCTATACAACATCCGAGAGAATGAGGAAGGGAAGGAACACATTGATACATTCTTCTATATTTTTCCTACTCAGTAGTTTCCCTTCGACGAGATGTCTACGTTTAAGATAGAGTTCCCATTAATAATATGCTTTTAGTTTTAGTTTCAGTAAGTGTTTTACGGCACTTGCAACACAATAAGGTAATGTAAGTGCCGAACATTTAGAGGTGTTTCTAGAGACTGTAACAAAAACAACTAAGAAGGAGGGATAAGGAATGATAGGAAAGAAGGAGCAAACCACACCAGAGCACCTGCTCACCACCCACATTATGTTTTTAATAGTCCGATAAAGTTACAAAGTTACAACAATATCAACGAGTCTGGCCTTTCAAAGGTAAGGCGCATAAAACGTAATTCAAAAGTTGTTTAGTTTTAGAAACTGGAATGATGTGTTTTTCATGTTGAGCGCAATCAGTGTTATAAAACCAACCGTTTTAAGTGATGAAACTCACTGAGTTGGATGTCGATCCAGGTCTAGCACTTTTTGTCACTGTTTATTCAGACTTAAACTGGCGTTTGTGGTGCAGTGGGTGAGCTCTTCTACAGTGAACACAGGAGGTGCGAGTTTGATTTTGAGGAAGGGTTGTTTTTATTATTATTATTATTATTATTATTATTATTATTATTATTATTATTATTATTATTATTATTATTATTATTATTAATATTATTATTGTTGTTATTATTATTATTATTATTATTATTATTATTATTATTATTATTATTATTATTATTATTATTATTATTATTATTATTAGGTAGTGTCTACGTTCTCTAACGTTAGAGAATGTATACAAGTTGTCTACGTTCTCTAATGTTAGTAGAGAACCTAAAAATAGCTCGCTCGCTCTATCTAACATTGAAACGAGTCGACATTTCTGCTTCCACAGTGCGTACACTTTATTTTCGCAAGCTATTAAGTTTATACTTTCGCGAAACTAAAATGCTCGCGAAAGTAAAGCTGTCTACAGTACCGCATCTTGCCTTTACAGCGACGTTAAACCCCTAACAAGCAACCAACACCCACAGGCTTAATTTTGTTACTTTTTTTATTCGTTAGAGAACGTAGACACTTCCTTATTATTATTATTATTATTATTATTATTATTATTATTATTATTATTATTATTATAATTATTATTATTATAATTATTATTATCATTATTATAATTATTATTATTATCATTATTATTATAATCGTTATTATTATTATTATTATCATCATTATTGTTATTATCATTATTGTTTTTATTAATGGGACTAATCGAGTCAAACAAAATACAATCTGGTCCCAATTGTCCCTTCGATGCTAGGCTATTTTAAAAAACTACGAGTAAACTGAGAGAGTTTCTGAATAATAGATTATAGTTATAGCACAGTGAATTATGTTTTTGAAGCAATAGTTTCCAATTTCTTAACAATCTAGGAGGGTGTCGAAAAGGAAGCCGAGATTTTTACAACCTCTTCTCTTTCCCGTTTTGTTCCAGTTTACTTTACCCGTGAGAATTCGAGACTATGCCTGTCGCTTTTACATGAGGCAAACATTTGTGCGGAACTTTTTTTTGGGGGGGGGGGCGGTGGGGGGAGGGGGGAAGTGTTTTACGGCGCTCGCAACTGCACAAGGTCATATGAGCCCGCGGGATACATTAAACGCTTTCAGTTGGTAGGAAATTTATGGCGAAATCAGGCGCTTGGGAAATTATGAGATCAAAGCAATCGGCATTTAAAAAAAAAATTTTAATGTTATCTTTTACGAGAACATCTTTTTTTTCATGGTAGAACAAAGAAGGAACTAAGCCGGCGCTTTTTAAAAAGCCATCAGTCTGTCCCCGTCGTTTTATGCAAGAACAATTTTGAAATTATGCAAACTGAGCCCAAAAATGTGAAATTATGCGATTCTGTTAATTTTAACAAAGAATGATAAAGGAAAATAATTAGAAATTATGCCAAAAAATGATCAATTTTTTTCTAAATTATGCGGGGTGCATGAAACCACGGGGATAGATTTGTTGTTTGGACAAACATGTAGAATCACTCAGTCGTTGAAGACTTCACACCTAGCGTGTTCTCTGAATAAGCTACCCTGTTGTCCTCTGGAGATAAACCTCTTTATTGTGCAGATCCTGGCACATTGGTTCTGTGTTTCACCACGTGTACAGGCACACACACACACACACACACACACACACACACACACACACACACACACACACACATACTCACACGCACACACACACACACACACACACACACACACACACACATACATACATACTCACTCACACAAACATACTCACACACACACACACACACACACACTCTCTCTCTCTCTCTCTCTCTCTCTCTCTCTCTCTCTCTCTCTCTCTCTCTCTCTCTCTCTCTCTCTCTCTCTCTCTCTCTCTCTAAGAAATGTTTGCTCGACAGACATGCCCATTGAATGAGACCGCTCGCAGCTGTCTGCACACACAGAAAGAAAGAACAAGCTTGCTCTGAATAGTTCTGATGTCAGTAAGTCCTCCGACCGACATCCTCGTTATGTTTTTCTTTACCTTCGTTTTTCCAGACATGTCATTTATCCGGTAGTTTGCTGGTGGGGTGGGGCCCACTTGATTCGTTCTCTAAGGTCATATGTGAGGCAGCGTGGTGGAATCAGGCTCTCGTCAATTTTTGGGCATGTGGAGTTATTGGTATCAACTTAAAGCTTGTTCACCAGTCTTTATTTGGATGAAAAAAGTATCCATTTATCTTAAATACAAGTCGAGATATTTGCATTTGAAGGAGGTGGTGGTCACCTGTTTTCAGAGGTAAAATTAGTGAGAAAATGGCCGCCAAAGATTAGTTATTTCCTTAGTTAAAGAGCCTATGGTAACTGAAAATTTACATGTTTTGTGCCTTTAATCAACGTTTATCAGAAAAATCCAAACAGAAATGATTTTTTTAATGGGCATGAAAGGTGTTGAGCCAAAAAAACAAAAATGTGATAAAAATTCACAAACCTGCGGAAAAATGCAGGTTTCTTCACTTTGATTATTTTGACGAGAGCCTGATTCCACCACGCTTCCTCAGATATGAATAGTGAATACGTGTAACAAGATGTGAGGGTGATTCTGGTTCAGAAATTATGTCCGTTTTGAACTTGGGTAGTTTAGGAATTACTCTTAGCACTTTTGGTGTTGTGGCAGGCAGCTATTGTAAGATAAGATACATCTTTATTGTCCACATCCTGGCATATTGGTATGGTGTTTCACCACGTAGACATATACAGACACACACACACACACACACACACACACACACACACACACACACACACACACACACACACACATACATGCATACACATACACACACATACAGAAACACAAACATACAAACATGCACACACACATAGGCTAACAGTCATATGCATAATATAAATAAACAGTAATCATATAAACAATAATAATGTTAAGCTAGATACATACTCAGTATTCTGATTGTAACTCAATGTTATTCTAATGCATGCTCTAAGGTCATATGAATACTTGTGACAAGATATGTGGATGATTCTGGTTCAAACCCTTCACGATATTAAGTCTGTTTTTTAACAAGAAGGGAAAAAATAAAAAATGAATTCATAAGGGACACTGTTGGAGCAGCACCAGTCCTACCACTCATTGAAAAACAAAAGGTCAAGTGGTTCGGACACCTCACGCGGATGCCCTCAAACCATTCAGCTCTGGGAGCATACAACATAAAAAATTAATATTCTGGCTGGAGAGCCAGAGGAAGACCAAGGCGATGATGGAGTGAATCTGTAGCAGACACCGTCAGAGCTCACGGGATGTCCCTCCTACAGGCCACTCGCCTTGCTGACTGCAGACAGACGCCTGTGTCTCCCCGCGACACCCACCGGTACAAGCGGAAGAAAAAAGTAAAAAGTAAGTTTGAGCTTGAGTTGTTTAGGAATTGTCCAGCCTGGCCGGCTACTTGGCTCTCTGGAGCAGGTGGTGGTGGGCTCGGTAGTCAGAGGTCCTGTCTCTTAACCCTATCCGCACGCCCTGGGTCATGTTGTACCCCCAGGGTTGTATACTTCACATTTTTGAGTACTGTACTTCTAGTACAAAAGATCTCTTTCAAATGTTCAGTATTTCTCAAAAAATCATTTTAACAGACTGCTATGCAAAGCGTACGGATTAGATTAACGAGTAAATTTCCTCTTTGGAAAGTGGCGGCACAGAGTTCCCCATGTCGTATGGATACGATAATAAAACACGACGTACAGATTGGGTTAAATGACCGTACAACGATAAAAGAGTAGTAGCCTACTACTCACACACACC